TTTTTTCTGAAAATTTTTGTACGAAAGTCGTAATAGTAGCCCCTTCATAATACAAGCCCCCCCTAAAAATTTTGAACACTTGGACAGTTTAGAAGCCCCGGAGGCTTCTATTATGGGGGGGGGTTTACGTTGAAAAACGTTAATCACGAAAATTTCAAAATTGTAAAGCGTTTCGTGAGCGGAGTAACGCGTTAAATGTTTCATATTCGGTGGTTCTACGAGTGAAAATTTGTACCGTGTGCTAACGCTTCCCTCAGTCGTAAAGCGTTAACGAGTTTGAACGAGTTAGCTTTCTGAACGCACACCTCACTTCTTTCTTCTAAGCTGTTTCTTAAGCTCATTTTCTCTGTCTATTAATTGTTCTGAAAAACCAGGACGAACCGACAACTGGTCTTGATGCTGTTAGTAAGCGTAAATTATGGACTGTTATACAAGCTGCAAGAAATCAAGGAATAACAATCATATTGACTAGTCATAGGTAATTTACTCTTAGAACGATTCTCATTTACCCACTTTCGTCTATGTCTTGCTGGTTATTATTAGTATGGAAGAGTGTGAAGCACTATGCACCCGTATTGGCATTGTTATTGATGGACAATTTCGTTATATCGGTGAATGAAATTACTTACGTAATAAATTTTCCAATTATTTTCATAAAGGTTATACCGTACAGGTGAATGTTATAGACGATCAACAAACAGTGATGAATGATCTTTTCGACAGTTTTCCAAATATTGAAATGGAAGGTAGATGAAATGAATTTTCTCATTGTTTACAATGATCTATCTACGGCACTTCTCTGAGTTGTGCATTTATTTTCATATTCATAGTATTACAAAATGGTATTTGATCATGTAACATACCGTTGAGACAGACTTCTACGCTATCATCTACCGACGAGGATGAAGAGCCCTTGACAACAACAACTACCACAGGAACACTAAAATTTATCAGATATATTTCAATATTTTTATAAACAGAAAACAGTTTCAGTTTTCAGTAAATCAATCAATAGTTATTCAATATCACAAACAACATTAGAACAAGTCTTTGTTTTATTAGTTAAAGAACATGAAAATGAACAACAAATGAGATCACCGATAATTAATTTCGATGGTGGTAGTGCTGTTAAGACTGGTGTTCCTGTGAGTGTAATGCGCCGAACGACAACGGAGCAAAATGGTGATGAACCGGCAACAGGGAATATCGTCACTAGGTTATAAATATTCACAAAACAAAGTCAAAGAAAAGTCAGATATCTGTGATATTTTCTATTTTCTTTTGTCTGATCACTTTTTCTATTCTTGTCTTCTGGTTGGTGGACCAGTGACTACAAGTGAAAAACAAAGAATTTTAATCAAAATGCGCCGTTTTCACTGATGTTGTTTACAAAAGGTAGCAATCACTAGGTGCGGTATTTGACTTAGCGGTAAATTTCGTTCGGTTTTAGCTGACTGCTAGAACTAAAATCTCGTTCTTGTACGAGCTATATTGATTTTATTTATTTTGGATTCTTCAAAAGAACTGATAACCAGTTCGCGTTCTTTAAGTAAGGGGCAAAACCATGGTTTGATTGATAAGCATCGTGTTTGATCTATTCTCATGTTTACGAATTCGCAAGATGAATTCGTAAAAGTTTTTAAGTGTATCCGTACGAATGCGATACATTTCGCATCAATTCGCGGCGAATTCCCAAAATAAGCGTAAAACGCGAATTGTTGCGTCATTTTTACGCTTAAAAATTGCGATTCGTCACTTTGTCTTTAGACACTTTGTTCACACATCTCAATCCACACGGATAAAAGCGGATACAAGGCTGTCTAGAGTGAAAGAGCATGCGATTTTATGGCGTTTCAGACTCCTGATGCTCCTTCGGAAATCTGTGAGAAAATCGATTAGCTTTGACCAACAGCTTCGCGAACCCATTGCGATGTGTTTTTTGTAGTTCTCTCAGAATGAAACAAGTTTGAAGGAAAGTTTGCTATACCATTCAATGCAACTTTAAATGGCGAACAAAAGCATCTATTGCTCAATTGTTATGTACACTGTGAACACCCGCGTTTTTGGAATATTACTGTTAAAGATGACCTTTTCAGCATAGTCCGCGATTTGTTTCCGTTTTTTCACCATGAGAGAACCTAGATCGCGGTCTACGTTATATACCAAAACAAAGCTCTTCAAAACTGTACAAAACGGCTGATAATTCGTTTTTAGTTGAAATTGCGAACACTCACTTTTCGGATATTACCACTGGAGAGTGATGTTTTCGGCATTGACGGATAGCTCAATCCATATAAAATGTACTACCATTTATATTGACCTCGCACGTCAGTGACGAGACCTAGCTTATATTATAGAGCTCAGCAAGCTGAACAGAATGGTGAAAGCCGCAAGTCTAAAAAATAGTTATAGCCATTTCACCCTCGCAGCGGAAAAGTGCATTTTCGTTATAGGGCATCTTCTTCTACTGTCTGACTTGTTAACAGAAAGGACAAAAAAAATAAAGACGATAAAGAGCAGAAATAAGAAAAATTTTTAAATAGCAATTGATTTTGGCTGTCGTCCGTGGGTAACAACTGCTATATTTATTATAATATGAATGATTACAAAAGTGGTAGAATGCAGGGATGTATAACACAAATAGAACAATGGTAAGATATTGTTTACTTTTACTAAAGTATAACTTCAATTTCTTTGCATAATTTAAATGTTTCGTTTTTTAGTGGGTGAATTCGGTATAACTTTGACAAGTTCAATATCGCCATCCGATATAACTGAAATGGAAGGTTTACTTTGTTTCTCACTTTTTTTTGTGTGAAACTGCAAATATGCTTTCATTATAAATAATGCTAAAGCCATTGCAAATTCACATACTAATGAAATCCAACCAGCAAGGGCTTTAACTTCGATTAAGTACACAATTGTTATTATCATCCCAGCCATATATAATACATTCCATATATAACTAAAATCTCCTGCAGAACGTGTTTTATATGTACGATATAACTGTGGCAATAAACATATTGCTAATAATGCACCGCCTAAATAACCAAGAAGATCAATTTCCCATTTTTTCATTTATAATACTTTGTCTCTATATAGATCTAAATATTATCGGTATTGGAATTCCAACTTTCTTCTAGAACAGATGAAAAACGCAAATAGAAAACACGACTGTCGATTTTTTCACACTGAAAAAGTACAAATACAGCACCTGTACTTATTACATAATACACACAATGGTGTTGCATCGAGCTACATATACTGGTGAAAAGCCTTTATTCACCTAGTACATCGTATGATTCTTGCTTTCATAAAATGCTAGTGTAGTCCAACGTTTTTATTAGGTCATCAGTGTACCAGATTTCTACAGCTCATATACTATCTACCATATACTATCCAATACAATAGAAATCTAGCAAATAAGGCGACATCTCTTTTTACATACTATGTCTCATGTGCGGACATTTTTTCGTCTCATTGCACCGATAAAAAAGAAAGAGAACGGAAAGATATGCATGTGCGAAAAGAGATATCCCCTTATTTGCTAATTCTCCAATATGTACTCGAAGTATATCTGTCAGGACGGAAAATAACATTAAGCATCGAGCAAAAACAGGGGGTGTCTCTTCTCGCACAAGGTATACAGGTTCAAGTATCGCCATACACGCGACGTACTGGAATGAGAAAGAAAAAAGAGAACGTTGTCTCACATGTTCTCTTTCCTATTGTGAATGCTGTAGAAAGTAAATATATAGTTAAAAACTTGTAAATATTTCAATTTCAAAACCTATTGGTGAAGAGAGTTTTATTTATTTGACAGCACAAATTAACTATTTATTTAAAATTTAAAATTTATCCTAACATTTCGAGTCACCGATAGGTATGCAAACTGTCTCAGTCAAAACTGTCACAGTTAAAAATTCTTGAAAGTAGAAAACGCAATTCGAACATTTGGTGCGTATAACCGTCGAGAGATATCGTTTACAGTGAGTATGTGATTTTCATCTTTAGAGAATATTGAAGAGATTGAAATTTTGTTTCATATCTTTCCCATCATTCAAGTACGACGTATACAGTCTATCACTGCATATAGCGACAAACTTTGTCGCTATATGCAGTGATAGTAATTTTCTCTTATTGTTTCGGAAACAATAAGAGAAAATTTACATTACTGACGAGGAAACCACTCCAACTGTCTGATCGCTTTTTTCACGAAACCTAGTAGACAATAGATAAACGAGTGTCCTGAATCCGAATATCATAGTGGTTTGGGCGTTTAAGCCTCCAGAGACCGGTTTTAGAGACCGGAAAACTAGTTTTTTAGAAACTGTAAAAGATAATTAAAACCTTTTTTAATGAGGCATGATTGTAGCTCGCAAATTTCAGATTAAAATGAGACATCTCCCAGCTCTACATGACCTTTCGTTGCAAAGTTATAGAATTTACACGAAAAACCCTAAATGTTCATTGTTAGCTCGAAGCTACCGAAATAAGAAGATAGTAATTGTTTCCGAAACAATAAGAGAAAATTTACATTACTGACGAGGAAAGCACTCCAACTGTCCGATTACTTTTTTCACGAAACCTAGTAGACAATAGATAAACGAGTGTCCTGAATTCGAATATCATAGTGGCTTGGGCGTTTAAGCCTCCAGAGATTGGTTTTATGGAAAACTAGTTTTTCAGAAACTCTAAAATATTACCAGAACTTTTCTTAATGAGGCATGATTATAGCTCACAAATTTCAGAATAAAATGAGACATCTACCAGCTCTACACGACCTTTCTTTGAAAAGTTAGAGTTTACAAGAAAAGCCCTAAATTAATTGGATTAAGATGGCTAAAGGTGAAAAGCGGCCGATCCAAGCAAATTTCAGTCTCGATTACATGAAGAAGGTTGTTGAATATTATGATGCGCGTGACTTGAACGGAAGGAGGAGACACACATGAAAATCTACACAACATCGATTCAAATCTATTCCTCACCCACAATATATCGCTCGTTTTCGTCACTATATTGATCAACATGGTACAAAAACCAAGGGGGAAAAAGCGGATTCACGGATCCGGGTTTCCGCATGGATCCAAAAAGATCCGCATGGATCCCTAATTATCTGAAATTTGGTATAAGAGTAGAAAGGCCTTCTGTGACATTTTTATACATTTTAAACAGATAAGTAGGACAAACCGAATATTTTCTATTTAAATATATGCCTTTCTGTTTAAATGTGTATATTTCTGCACGGATTTTGATGATTTTATATAAAAATATTAAACGAAGAATAAAATAGATAGATATGTACGGTGTTAAAATA